CACACACACACATACAAACACATGATCTTGTTCTCTCTCTTTCTCTTTCTCTCCCCCTGCCCCCTCTGCTCAGAAATGCTTTATAACACGCAAACGTAACAGCAACAACAAGGCATGTTCAGGGCTGGGGATGTAGCTCAGTGGTAGAACACTTTACCAGACATGCCTCAAGTTGTGGGTTCAATCCCTAGCACTTCAAAACAAACAAGCAAACAAAAAAAATTCCAAAAGAAAGACAATCATATAATGCTCATTGAGTCGTGCTGAACTTGACAAATTTCTTCTTTCAGTCTGGTTTTTGAGAGGTGAAACAATGACTTACATCAGTTCAGCAGGATATTGCAAAAAAAAAAAATCTCATGAAACCTCTGACAATTGATAGAGATCCCTGGCAAGAATATCGGAGGATAAACAATGCAGAATGGGGGGAGTTATTAAAGCCTTGATAGCAATCTCAGAGTTCCTGACAGGGAAAATAGCACACATGCTTATCAAATCTGTGGCCAGGAGCCGAAACCCCCACAGGGTGTTATCTCTACCCACTGGAAAGTTTAATTGGAGCTAAGACGATGAGATGTAAATGCACATGAAAGCTAGAACCCTGAAGTTCCAGAAAATCAATGGCATCAATTTGCAATGGGAGATTGATGGCTTATGTTCTTAGAAAAGCTTACTGGGGAGACTGACCAGTAGCTGGGCCTGTGTCCTGGGATGGGAGCATGGGATAGAGACAAGGGACAGGAGGGTGATGCTGGGGCCGGGGCTTGCTCTGGTTCTATGTCTGTGAGAAGACCTAGGACTACAGGGGACATGTTGCAGTAAGATAATTCAGTCCCTCATCAGGAACAACTCAGAGCGGGCCTCCTCAGCTCCCAGCTTCCTTGAACCCACAGGCCTGACAGATTTGACTAATGACTTGGGTCAGAAAGAGTGTTCTTGGATGACAGGACCAAAAATATAATCTGGAAGGTATCTGAGGGCCCAAAGCCTTCTCCTAACCCCTAGGAAGAGACAGGCAGCCTGTTGAATTCCAGCTAAGTTGCTAGAGCTAGCTGGGCAGTGATCCCTTTCCCCCTCCTATTTACCTTCTCCACCAGCCATAGTGTGGTATAGGCTGTGGGATTAGTCAGCAGATCTGATCCGTTCCCCAAGCCCAGGCAGGCCCAGCTGAACCCCAAAGCAGTGGCTTTCTGGGGGCCCCTGGAAACCTCCACAACTGTCTACCCAGCCTGTGAACTTGAGCTAGAGGATGGATGCCCACACTGGTTGGAGGTGAGCATTCTTGTGAAGAAGGGCCCATGCAAGGGAAGGATTTCATGGAGAGAGGAACAGAGACAGGAGCAAGCTACCCAGGCCCCCTCCATCATCTGCTTTTTTGTATCCCTTGAAAATGCAGCTGTCAGGGACCATGTGCCTTGTTCTTTTTCACAAAGCAGTTCACTGCCCTCGAGCTGCCCAGCCAGGTTACAAGGAGACAGCATCGTCCCCACTTAGATGATAAAACTGAAATCCAGCCAGGTGCCAGTGGCTCACACCTGTAATCTCCAGCTGTGTAGGAGGCAGAGATATGAAGATCACAGTTTAAAGCCAACTCAGACAAGAATGGCCACAAGATTCTTTTTTTTTTTTGGAGGGGGGACCAGTCATGGGGCTTGAACTCTGGGCCTGGGTGCTGTCCCTCAGCTCTTCAGCTCAAGGCTAGTGCTCTATCACTTAAGCCACAGAGCCACTTCCGGCTTTTTCTGCTTATGTGGTGCTGAGGAATCAAACCCAAGGCCTCATGCATGCAAGGCAAGCATTCTACCACTGAGCCACCTTCCCAGCCCGTCCACAAGATTCTTATTTCCAATTAACCACCAAAAAAAAAAATCCAGAAGTAGAGCTGTGGTTCAAATGATAGAGCATCAACCTTGAATGAAAAAGCTAATGCACAGGGCCTAGGCCCTGAGTTCAAGTCCCCAGGATTTGAACAAATACATACACACAGAAACACACGCGCACGCGCACACACACACACACACACACACACACAGAGTGAAGCCCACCCCTTCATATACAGCTTGCCTTGAACTGGCTCTGGTCGTTCCATTGGCTCTTTCTACACAAGTAGCCCAGATTCTAGGGACATTCCAGAGTATAGCCTTTGTGGGGTCCAGCCAAACAGGTTTTTCCCAGTGACTTTGTCACCTTGTGGTCTGGCTAAGAGTGGGAAACAGGAGTGATGTCAGCTGCTGCTGGGGAAACTGAGAACAGACTGATGCAGTTCTCACTGGAGCCATATCCAGTGGACAGCGGTGAGTTGAGGAGAGACAGGATCAGTTCTTAGGCTCAATCATTGAGTGCTTAGCAACAGCGCAAAGCTGAGTTTACAAACCCGGGCACAGATAACATGGCTAATTTCTATGAAGTCTTCTAAAAATATAAACATAAAAAGAATCCCACTCAGTCTCCCCTTCTCCAAAGCCTTTTGCTGC